TCTGACATTATCTCACCATGTTCTTGTGGAAAAGGTAGGAGGTGGGTGTTATTAAACCCCATTATACATATGGGAAAACTGAGGCAAAGCACTCTTATAACCAACCTGCTAGGTTGGTTCCATCATTCAGAATTAAGTAGTTAACTGCTAAGCCTCATTACCCTTGCAAGGGATTCTGGGAGATTTAACCTGTTTTTTTTTAAAGTTCTAAAAAGGATTCTTTGTGAAGACACTTGTTTGTAGGCTTAATGATGGGTTCCATCTTCTCCCTTTTTCAGCTGAATGATCTGGGGCCAAGGAAGGGTGGAGTCCTGGGGAGAAAGGAGTAAGTCACAGAGAGCTGGTGAGGATGGAGCAAAACAGGAAAGAAAGACCTAGTTAATCATAGGCAGAGTCTTATCCATTCACTAAATAGATGAGTAAGTATTTATAACACCTCCGATTAGGTTTTCAGTTCAATGTTTAATGGCAGGGAACATTCAAGGAAGAATGGAATTGGTGCCTATTCATCAGTAGCTTATAATTTACTTGGATTCTTAAGAAATATACACATGGAAAAATATGAAAACAATGCTTCACTGGGAGGTAGAACAGAATAGCAAGTGAAATAAGATTTTAGGGGAAAATAAGGTAAACAAGGTGAACAGTGATTTTTTTTCAACCTATATTTCTTTATTGAGCACCCACCATAGACCAGACACTCTGTTAGAGGCTGAATATATAACACCCCATCCCTGCTGTCACGGGCTCATGGGCCTGATTGTCTGGGAAGAAATAGTTAGCAGGGAGTGTGCAGCAGGAAAGAGTGATCAGCAAAGCTTTCCAGAAGAAGTAAGATCTATACACTGAGACCTAAATAAAGAATGCACATTGTATCTGCAAAATGGAAAGAGAGCTTCTGGGCAGAGGGGAGGACATTCCAGACAGAAGAGGCCAGTATAAGAAAGGGGATTCAAGGAGAAAGAAGGGCTTGGGCTCGAATTTGAAAATCTTTCCCTGAGGTCACCTAGCTTTCTTCTCTTAGGCCAAGCCTCTTCTCTCCACTGACACTATTTTTGCCTAATTGAGTTTAAGAAAAGTATCCTTCCTCCATAACACCTGCCTCCTACCTTCTATCTTTCTCTTGCCTTCTCTGCCTTTAACAGTGGCGTTGAGATAGCGTCTATTACCAAAAAAATTAATTAATTAATTAAAATAAATAAATAAATAAAAGCCAATTTTTCAATAAGAATTTGGTTTTTAAAAAGTATTCATCATTAAGAATATTTTCATATTTGAGCCCTGTATTGCAAGTCAAAAGATGGGCTCCGGGTGGAATTCCAGCCAAGCCAGCCAGTGGAGCTGTCAGATCATCCCAGGTGACCCAAGGGGAGCAAAAGTCCATGCAGCATTGGGTTTCACCAAACAAGGAGTGTGCTACATTCATAGTCCAGCTCAGTACTCACGAAGGGGCCAGGGGTCAGAGGGTCAGGACAGCCACTCAGCTTACCAACTTAATAACCAGGGAGGAATGCTCCCTGACTCAGCTGTGACTAGGACTCAGACCAGGTGGAAGGAAATCAACTGGATAAATGCACGTCATCCGCTACAACCCACCTTCTCCACATGCCAAAGGAAAGGGGTCCCTAGTCTCTCTTTCCCAGGAACAAGAATAATATGACAGAGCATAACTCAATGATTTCTGTGTGGTGGGCCAGTCCTAAAAGCTGTTGACTTCCCAGCTTTTCAATGCCCTCCCTATCTGCCCATTCTTTTTCCATTTATTTAAGTGTAAAGAGCTAAACTAAGGAACACTCTCTGCTCATCACTTGAAAATTAGCAGATCCCCAGTCAGTGCAGAGCCTTTGTTGAGTTCTAGAGCCCAGCCACCACCCTCCCTCAGCCCCACGGAGCTCAGGGAGAGCAGCTGCGCCTGGGTTGGCTCACCTGCTCAGAATAACCTCTAGTCTCCACTGCAAAGTGCATCCTCATTCTCCTTGTGGCCCCTGTTACACGTATCTCTCTGCTCTCCTGAAAACAGATGATTAATATTATTACTACTAATAATTAAGTTATTTCTAGCTAATATTTTATTACTTATAACTAGTGTTACCAAAGTCAGCACAAATACTTATAATCATTACAATAGTGGCAAATTTAACTATTTGTATCACTAGAACCCCTGTAGGGTTTATAGATTTATCCATGAACCCTCTGGAAATAGGGATGTCATCTCTCAGGCATAATATTTTCTTAACTAGTTAAATTAAAAACTGAAAAACAGAATCTATGTTCTGCTGCTCTTTTCATGTTGTTCTCCTTACCTCACCAGGGTTTTATGCTCTCATAAGGTCTAGGCTCCCTCTAATGGCCATATTTGGTTACAAAGAAGTTCCTCAAGTTCACCCAGAAATCTAGTCTGATCTCTCACCGAACATTTAATAGCGATGAATAGGACGTGGCCTATCAGACTATGTGGTGCTTTCTGATATTTGTTAATACTAAAGCCTGAAAAGTGTAAATTATTAGTAGTAATAATATCAATCATCTGTTTCCAGGAGAACCCAACCCAAATTTCTCTCAATTGATCTTTGGGAAAGGAGTCAAAATAAAATTTTAAAACACACATGAAAGCTGTTCAGTAACTTCAGTAGAGAGCCTGAGGTAATGCAACTGTCATGCTTGAACTAGAAGCGCAATGAAATTACAGATGGACATTAGACAGAGTCACGGGACCTCAGAGGTCTGAGACACCCAACATTCGTCTGGTTCAGCTGCCCACTTCCCTCTACCACATCCTGTCAAGGCACGATGTCAGCCTCCCTTAGTCCGACTCAGGCATGAGTTCAGGTCAGTGATGAAAGTAAACAAGCTGGCTGCTCATGTGGCAAAACCGGAGAGGAAGTTCCCATTTTCCCTTTTTGTTTTAAAAAAAGACATTACATATAATTTTAATTTCCTATTTAATTAATTATCCAGTTAATTAAAGGCAAATGAATTGCACATGTGTTGTTTGTGTTTTAAAATCCCGGACAATAACTGGTAAATGCAAAAATCACTATTTCTGAAGTTATTTAAGTAACATCTCCAATGTCAATTCTGAAAATGATCAAAATCCGCCCCCTTTTGGGAATACCCTCGAAAAACACAGTAAAATAATTTAAAAGAATAGATGAGATCACAGAACAGGAAATGTCAGTGTATTTTGGGAAGATGGAAAGCAAATGCAAGTGTCGTACCTAACTCAGTCAGCAGGGAGAAAACTGACCTCTAAATACCTGAAGAGGACACTGAGGTGAATGCCATTGAGTCCAGGAACCAGAGTTATCTGGTTTGGAAGGTGGGGGTGGATGATAGAGCTAAAAGATCTTATGGCACGAGCATCCCCTAGGGTCTCTGCATCCAGCCAGCAGACAAGAAAAAAAAGAGGATGGAGAATCTCACATGATAAATTATTAGGGGCAGCATGTCCAGGCATTTTCTGCAGATGACAGGCAGTGTGAAAGTAGCCTGAGGGCCCAGAATCGCCTCTAGTGGGATAGCCCAGGATCAGAAGTTCCGCTCAACGCCACAGGAAGAGCTCCAAAATGAGAACTTTGAATTCTCTCTGCATTCCACTGCTTTACAGGTCAGATCTTCTCAGATCCTATTTCCCCATCTGAATAATGAAGAAAAAATATCTGTCCTGACAGCCCCTCGGGGTTACCAAAAGGACAATCCAGGCACAGCACAGGAAAGCACTTTGCTACAATGTAGGTTACAAATTACGACACAGTTCGGCCTTGGGAGCCAGGTATCTGATTATAGAATCACTTGATTCCACTTTCTCAGAGGCTTAGTAACACACTGGTGGTCACTGTGCAGGAAAAATAAAACTTGGTAGATTACTAAAGGGAAATGTGTTCTCATGGGCAGGAAGGGGTGGCAGCCAGACCAAAGACAAAGAAGCCATTCTCCCATAGCCACCATTGGTCACTGACTGCGAAAGCTGAGATAGACGCGGAACAGAGCCATTTGGGGCTCATCCCACTGGGTGATTAGGTAACCAGATTCTTGGCACTGTGCCCAAAGTGGTTACACTTCATCCATCTCTTGCTGCATAATATCACAGCTTTAGGGGCCAGAGGAATGGGTGAGAAGGGAGAAAGGGCCTCCTTGACAATCGTTTTCCTTCCTTGGCAGGCTGAGACACAAGTCCAGCTGGAAAACCAAACATAGCCAGGAGGCCCCGCTGCTCATCAATGTGGGGTGAGGTTGGTCAACAGCCCCAGCCAGGGTCTTGAGCAGGGGAGCTGTGAGATGACAAGGTGACGCTCCGATCCCCCAGTCAAGAACCTGGGCCTTTCCCACATGTATTCACACAGGGCTGACGAACCCGCCCTACCCACCAACATCCAGAGCAATCATGTCCCCTACACTCTCTTCCATCTCAGCTCGATGGAAACACATCTGCCAGGGAAACTTTTCAGAGGTTATCAGGAATGACCCAGAGAGAGGAGCAGAGTGCAGTAAGTAAGCGCCTTTGAGGCTGGGTGGCTGGGCTCCTCCCCTGGGGCCGCCTTGCAGGGGAGGCAGTGCCAGCTCTTTCTGGGGGAATTTGAGCCACTTTGCCCAGACTGGGGGCAGCAGGAGAGAGGTGGGGCCAGACAGGAAAAGGGGAGCCCCGGTGTCTGTCAGAATCCAGCGTTCCATAGTGCCGAGGGGCCTCAGAGGGACCTGGAAAGGTTCTGGCCTCAGCCTTTAAAGAAACAAGGGACTTCCTCATCAAGGGGGCTTTGGAAGAGAGTTGACGGCTGTGGTTAAATGCCTAAACCATCCTGTGAGGTGGGTGCCTGGGACTTATTGCTGTCTGAATCTATTAAGTGTTCACCTTGTGCCTCCAGAAAGGTGGAAGGAACCAGAGTCCACCCAGGAACGGCCAGCAGCTGAGCTAGAAGATTTCCGGAACCAACAGCACGCCTTGAGGGGCCCTTCACTGCTGCTGGCCTGGTGGGGCCAGGGTGCCCTGCCCAGGAGAGGTCCCCCAGTGTACCTGTGGCCCAGCGCCCAGCTGACCAGGTACTGGGTTGACAGGTGAGTCTGTGTTTCTGCTTAAGGATGGGCAGGATTGGTGTTGAAAGGAAGTCCCCGCAGCCTGGTGCTACGACAGCTGGCCTAAAAGCCTCCGTGCAGCAACCAAACTGTCCAGACCCAAACTCAGGGTGCAATTGTCCAACAAGTATGAATATGAATATATGGGGAGCATAAGGCGGATGATTTGAAATGAAATCTGTGATTAAGGAACGCACGGGTTTGTGATTGTCCTACCTGTGGAGGCCAAAATTATGGTAACTGGACAGACCCAGAGAACAAGCTGCCCCATTGCAAGCTGTGTGGCCTCAAACAAGTTCCTTAGCTTCTCTGGGCCTCAGAAAGTCCAGCAGCAAATGCATAAAATAGGCATAATAACGATGTCTCTGTAACAGGACTATTGAGGAACCAAATGAGATCATGCCTGTAAACATGGCTGACTATTTTTTGTTATTATTTCCAACTTCCTAGCTGCATAACCTTGAACAAATGATTTTAACTCCCTGAGTCTCTGCTTCCTTAGAAATGATTGAACTAGATTTCTAAGAGTCCTTAGTAGCTCTACCATTCTCTGCTATGACCCAAGAGAATGATCAGCTTTCTGTAGTTTAATTAAGCGCCACGTTTGGGTGCTGCTTGGTCCCCTTTTCCAAATGTGGTCCCAGTCTCTACCCACCCTCCCTTCCTGTTAAGAAGATCTGCTATTTCCTTGGAGAGTGAGCACAACTGTATTCATCGCAGCAAGCGCTGTGACATCAGGTGTAAGGAACAATTGGGGGCTGTTGGTTTTGTACTGTTTTACAGCTTGGAGGAAGTCTCAACAGCCCTGGTTTCTCAGTGCTCCCAGTTCCTAGTCATCTGCCCCAACTGGGAATAACTAGCAGTGGAAATGGGCGAACTTCCATTTGCGTATCAAGTCTGCCATTTATGGCTGGGAGACCCTGGAATCTTATTTCACTTCTCTAAGCCTCTTTCCTCATGGAGCTGTGGAAGTATTACCTCACGGAGCTGTTTTAAGGACTAAATAAAATAATGTTTATAACGCGCCTTGAGCAAGTAGCAGTGGTTATATGTGTTGTTGCTGCACACAATCCAGCATTATCTCCCCCTAAGTGTTAAATTTTTGTTATCACTGCTGTTAGTGATCATAATGGTGAGTGAGGTCAGCAGTTTTAATCTCCTCCATCCAAACAAAGGAGCCAGAGGCAGCACCCCATTCAGGCATCAGCTTTCTGCAGCCCTGAATTCAGATAGCTGATAGAAATAAGACCCCAAGCATTATCATCCCACGTAAGCCATTGTTCTTTAATCACTATTGGAAACTTCTGTGGGAGCAGAAAGCTAAGGCAGGACAGGTCTTGGTTTTATCCTCAAAGAGAGGTCCCTGGCCCTGCAAATTACTCCAGATTTCCCCCGTGGGAAGGGCCAGTCGTGGCACCAGGCCTCCGTGTCTGGGGACCCAGGTAGTGAATGAGCTGCTATTCATGAGCCAGTCAACAATCTCGGCATGCATCTGAGTCGAGAATGGGCACAAAGAGGTGTTAGGAGAGCGCCACCTAACATGAAACCGGAACACCTCCCCAGGTCGCAGAGGCGTGTTCCACACGCTTCCCTGGCAGCCTTCACTCAGTGAGCGAATTGCTGACTTTACTACCATCTCGTGTCCGCTCCGGAGCAGGGAATGCAGGGAAAAAACAAGATGCAAACCCTTTGCTTCTTTCCATATGCCCCCACCCTGGCTTCTCTGAAATCTCCAGGCTCAATTACCTCAGTTGACAAAGAAAATAAGAAAGGGAGTTTTAAACATAGATAAAATGAGAGGCTAAGATAATTCTGATCCCCTTGAGCTACCTACCGTGCACTGAGAGCCTTGTATGAGGATATTTTGAACGTATTATCTTATTTTCATCCTCTCAACAGCCCCAGAAGGGAGGGGTGCTATTGTCAGCCCCATTTTACAAATGAGGATGTTGAGTTGGGAGAGTTTAATAACTTGCCCAAGGTCGCAGAGCTGCTAAGTGGTGGAGTCAGGGTTTGGCCTACAAATTGGTTCATAATCACTATGGGAATTCCTCTGGGAGTGGATGAACGAACCGGAACAGGATACCAGGAATTTCCTAAACATTACCTCAGTCGCCCAACTCCTTTAAAGAAAGCCTGTGGAACATCTATGAATGAGCCAGCTGCTTTCACATCTGTTTTACTTCCTTTAGTCCACACACCACCATCTAGGAGGTTGATATTTTCTCTGCTTTACAGAGGAAACTAAGGCTCAGAGAGGTGAGGTGACTCCCCAGGTCACACCACCTACCAGTGGCGAAGCTTGGCCTCGCACCATGTTCTTGGATCTCGGCCAGTGCACTGTCTCCTGATTCTGCAGTCGCTGGAGCAGGCAGCATCCTAGTTGGTTTCTCTCTCTCTTTCAGGGAGAATTCGCCATGTGCTCTGAGACGGGCTCCAGGTACACGGGCATGCTGCTCTTGGCCTTGGCCACTGCAGCCATCATCGCCAACCTTCTACTCTACTTTCCCAACGGGCAGGTGCTGGAGCCTGCCAAGATCACGGACTTCGTCTGGTTTTTCCATGGCTTTCTTGGAGCTGGACTTTTGGTAAGAATGAGATTTAGCTAGCTTACCTCCTGCAGGTGAAGGATGCCCCTAAACTTTACCTTGCAAGTCACAGAGCAATCATCTCATCTTGGGACCACCTTCCCTGGGCCCCCAGAGCACGGCTGGCTGCTCCTCCTCTATACCCCACAACACATGATACATAAACACATTCCACATTGTGCTCGGCACATCCTACTGCAAGCATCCTTTTATGTCCCTGCCTCCCCCATTAGGCTGGCTGTGAGCTCCCCAGGAACAGAGCCCAAGTCTCATTCACCGTTGCCCTCTAAGCGCCTATCTATCAGGGTGCTGCCTGAGACTAGACCTGAATATGTAGCTGTCAACTGAAAGACACACTTTATAAAGAACACAATAACAGAGTACTTGTCAGGTTCGTCAGGTTTCGAGGTGATCGTCTGGAAAAATAAATTGTGTCGTTCCTATGAAGACTTCTCTAGGTAAAATTACTGGGTTGGCGATCTTTTTCTGTAAAAGGCCAGATGGTAAATATTTCCAGCTTTGCAGGCCAAGTGGTCTCTAGTTTCAACTACTCAGCTCTGTTATCATAGGGCAAAAGCAGCCATAGACAATATGTAAACAAATGGGCATAGCTATGTTGCAATACAACTTTATTTATAAAACAGGCAACTCACTGGATTTAGCCCACAGGTTGTAGTTTGTTGCCCACTGAGGTAGACACTGAATGTTCTCCTTCCTTCCTGCCTCTGTTTTCATTTGGCTCCTCCTCTCCCAGGTATCCAGGGGTCCCTTATGAAAAGATCTTTGATTATGTGAGACCCCAATGCCTGGCACTGAGTAGGTGCTCAATGGATGGATGAATGCATGGGGCATAAAGAACCCTCAGAAAAAGGGTTCTTTTTCTGGCTCCTCTCCACACAGTAGTAGTTGCAGTGCTGTCTCAGTTTGCATTCATTGACCACCCACCCCTCCCATCCATGGCAGCGGCTGGGCCTTCCTGCACAAGACAACATCTAAATCAGCAATACCTGGGCCAAGGTTGTCTAGGTCTCAGCTCAGAGCCCTGATATTAAATGAGATAATGTATACAGAACACCCCCACACACCTAGCAGCCAGTGAAATGCAGTGTCCTCTCTCCTGGCTCAGATTACCAGCTTCTCCACCTTCACCGCAGATCCAGCCCAGCGCCTGTCTCCTGCCTCTTACCTTCCCTGCATATTACTGCAGGACAGTTTCTCATTTCTCAGCTGGGAGTTGGCCCAAGTTTGTTTGGTTCAGTGCCTGTATGTTTTGCTTACAATGACTTGGATACCCTTGGGAGGGGTATGTGCCCTCCAGTTCTCCACACAGTCCCCACCTCTCCCTATTGATTATTCATCAGGACACACTTTCTTACTTAAAATTACCTGCCCAGCTTCTAAAGGCATGTGAGTTTGTACTCTCATCCTCTCTCCCCCAACCCCCTGGCCACCCTCCCCCCGCCCAAACACACACACCCTCAGACTATCAAGTAAAAGAATACATTTGACTAGGTAGCACTCATTTTTAACATCAAACGCTTAACAACTATACTTTCCCCAGGATACGTCTTGGTCACCTTGGTAAGGACTGGGGATGTCTCAGACACTCGCATCAGCAAACACATTACCAGTCCTTTCTCAGGGTGCAGTGATTCTTTTCATAAATTTAAGTTCATCCATTATGTATTTATTTCTTGTTTTTTTGTCATATATGGCCTTTATTATGTTAAGGTATTTTTCTTCTATACCCATTTTATTAAATGTTTTAATCATAAATGGATGTTGTATCTTGTCAAAGGCTTTTTCTGCGTCTATTGATATAATCACATGATTTTTGTTCTTTATTTTGTTTATGTGGTGTATCACATTGATTGATTTGCGTATGTTGAACCATCCTTGTGGCCCTGGCGATGAACCCCACTTGGTCGTTATGTGTAATTTTTTTAATGATTTGTTGCATTCATTTTGCTAGAATTTTGTTTAGGATTTTTGTATCTGTACACATCAGAAATATTGGTCTATAATTTTCTTTTTTTATGTTTTCCTCACCAGGTTTTGGTATTGGGGTAATGTTGGCCTCATAAAATGAGTTAGGGAGTGTTGTCTCTTCTTCAATTTTTTGGAAGAGTTTGAAAGGGACAGATATTAGATCCTCTTTGAATGTTTGGTAGAATTCACTAGTGAAGGCATCTGGTCCTGGATTTTTGCTTTTGGGAAGGTTTCAGATGACTGATTCAATTCTTTACTGTTGATCGGTCTATTTAGATTTTCCACTTCTTCGTGATTCAGCCTAGGAAGGCTACCTGTTTCTAAGAACATGTCCATTTCTTCTAGGTTATTGAATTTGGAGGCATATAGCCCTTCATAGTATTCTTGGGTAATCCTTTGTATTTCCTTGGCATCTATGGTAACTTCCCCTCTTTCATTTCTGATTTTGTTTATTTGTGTCTTTTCTCCTTTTATCTTAGTGAGTCTAGTCAAGGGTTTGTCGATTTTATTAATTTTTTCAAAGAACCAGATCTTTGTTGCATTAATTTTTTCTATTGTCTTTTTGGTCTCTATTTCATTTAGTACTGCTCTAATTTTTATTATTTCCTTCCTTCTGCTGACTTTGGGTTTCATTTGGTCTTCTTTTTCTAGTTCTTTAAGGTGTAATGTGGGGTTATTTATGTGGGATTTTTGTTGTTTCTGGAGATAGGCCTGTAATGATATAAATTTCCCTCATAATACTGCTTTCACTTGCATCCCTAAATTTTTGGTAGGATGTATTTTCATTCTCATTTGTTTCTATGTATCTTTTGATGTCTCCTCTTATTTCTTCTTTAACCCAGTTATTCTTTAAAAATATGTTGTTTAATCTCCACATAGTTGTGGTTTTTCCTGCTTTCTTTTTACAGTTGATATCCAATTTCAAAGACTTGTCAGAGACTATGCTTTGTATGATTTCAATCTTCTTAAATTTGTTGAGGCTAGTTTTATGTCCCAATATATGGCTATCCTTGAGAATGTTCCATGTACACTAGAAAAGAATGTATAGTCTGATGTTCTAGGATGAAGTACTCTATAAATGCCCATTTCATCTAATGTGTCATTTAGGGTTGATATTTCTTTATTTAGTTTCTGTTTGGGTGATCTATCTATCCATAGCTAAATTAATGATGTGTTTAGGTCACATACTATAATTGTGTTTTGGTCAATTTCTCCATTTAGTTCTGTTAGTAGTGGCTTTGTATATTTTGGTGCTCCCTGATTGGGGGCATAAATATTGATGACTGTTATGTCTTCTTGTTGTATAGTCCTCTTTATCATTATGAAATGTCCATCTTTGTCTCTTGTTACCATTTTTATCCTGAAACCTGTTTCATCTGATATCAGTATGACTACATCTGCTTTTTTCTGAATACCATTTACTTGGAGTGTCAATTTTCACCCTTCACTTTGAGTCTATATTTGTAGCTGAGATGTGTCTCTTGGAGGCAGCATATGGTGGGGTTTAGCTTTTTGATCCAATCTGTTACTCTGTGCCTTTTTATTGGTGAGTTTAGTCCATTTAATTTAGGGTGATTATGGATACATAAGGATTTCCTATCATTCTGTCTTTGGTTTTCTGGTAGGACTGTGTGTCCATTGTTTATTTGCCTTTTTGTTGCTGTCTATTATTTCAGCGTGGTTGTATTATATGATTTCCCCCTCTGTTTCTTCTTTTTTTAATGTCATATATTTCAGTGCTAAATTTTTTGTGTGTGGTTACCATTAAGTTTATGTAAAAGAAAGTTTCATATTTAGAGTATTCCATTTTCTTCAGCATGCTTCCTTTCTCCATTCTCTTGTGCTGGATCAGACTTTTACTCTCTCCCCTTTTATGTTTTTGTTGTCACAAATCATCCCTATTTATGCTGTGAGTTGATTTCTGCGCTGCAGTAGCAAGTTGTCTTTTCCCTCTTTTTATTTTATTTTATTTTCTCTTCTTTACCCTGTGTGTTATGTTTAAGTGAATAGTGTCTTATTTGGTGGAGAGGCTGCCATTTCCTGCTTCTCTCTGTCTGTTTGTAATACTACTCATGGTTTTGTATTCTTTTGCTGTTTTGTTTCAGGTCGAATAGCCTCCTTCAGTATTTCTTGTAGTGCAGGTCGTGCGTTAGAAAATTCCCTCAGCTTCTGTATGTCTGGAAAGGTCTTTATTCCTCCTTCATGTCTAACGGATATCTTTGCTGGATGTATTTATTTCTTGTTCCTGACCCATGGTCATATCATGCCAGTGCCCTTTCTCCTGTCCCACAGTGCCGGAAGAAACATGGGGCAACGTCATCACAGATTGTACCACTATGTCAATGGTTCTGATTCTGTGTTGAGCCCTGGGCCAAGAGCTGCTGAACCCCAGCTCTCAGAGCCCAGTGGGAATCAGGAGAAAGCTGTGTGCTCAGTGCAGCAAGACAGATTGGTGGGAAGGAAGCCACCGTTCCTTTTGCCTGGTGGGGGCCACTGAAAACTACAAAGAGGAGATGTGGTTTCCCACGGCTATAATAATAAATAACCACAAACTCGGTGGCTTAAATCATCAGAAATTTGTTCTCTCACAGTCCTGAAGGCCAGCGCTCTGAGTAAATGTGTTGGTGGAGCCCCATGTTCTGGGCTTTAGGGGAAAATCTATTCCTTGCCTTTTCCAGTGTCTGATGGCTGCTGGCATTCCTGACTTGTGGCTGCATTGTTCCATCTCTGTCTCCAAGGTCACAGTATCTGCCTCTGCCTTCATCTCTGTGTGTCTGTCTCTGAAAACTCCTTCTGCCTATGATTTTATTTAGGGCCCATCCCAGATACACTCCTTCTATTCAGATCCCAACTTAACCATACAAGGTAATATTCACAGGTCCCAGGATTAAGAAGTGAGTAGGTCTTTGGGGTTGGGAGGGGGCATTTGTTCGGCCTACCACAGGAGATAACATCTAAACTGACCCTTTGAGGGTAAAGAGGAGTTTACCTGATGGCATATTCCAAGACCCATAGGCAGGAAAGTCCTGGGTCTATCCTGGGAGCCCATAAACTGGTGTGTCAGGAGGTCTGAAAGTACGAGGAGCAGTGAGGCCCTGAAGGCAGGGCAAGACCAGGCCGTGAAGGCTCATGTACGAAGCCCAGGGCCTGTGTCATATCCTACAGGCAATGAGGAATCGCTAGACATTTTTAAATAGCTAGAGACACAATCAAAACCACATTCTAAAAAGATAACAGTCCCTTCCTTACAAGAGCATTTTTGTTTGTTTGTTTGCCACAGGTTATGGTGCCAGCGCTAATGCTGTTGAGAGGGGGTGGAGAGGGCTGCTGTGCTCAGAGATGTGGGGTAAGTACTGTGGGTTCTGCAGAATGTTTAACTTCCCACCCCCACCCACCCCCAAAGGGCTTATGTCCTAGGCCGTGTGCTTCAGCTCTTTTGAAGGATTAGACTATTGGCCAATGCTCCTTTTGAAGCATAGTAATACTATGCAAGACAATAGCCAGCAGAGATGAGGGCTGCTGTGTGAGATCTCAGGAAAAACACACCTGGAGAGGGTGTGAGAAGAGCCATTCTCAGTGAACACAAAGCCTATAAGCTCTGGTCGACCAGCCTGCTAGGGTTTGGTTGTTTGTGTTTCTGTCTGTCTCTCTGCAGAGATGTCCAGGACCATCCCATCCTTTGGCTTTCCTATTTCCACTATAGCCAAAGGGGCAACACATCACAGAAGTGGGGTTCCAGCAAGAAGAGATGTTAAATATTATATTCTCAAAAACACTTTCACAGGTATTCTCTTACAATACACTACGGAGAACAAAAGGCTGACAAGCTCCAAGTTCATCCATTATGTATTCATGTCTCGTTCTTGATCTTGTTCCTGATCACAGCAAGTTGTCCACTGCTCTTACATTTCTAGTTCATATGCCATCTCATTTCTCTTTTCTGGTTAAAAAATTCCCTGTCCCAACCCTTGCAAATTCCAATCAGACCTTCCACAGAGACCTTAGCCCCATGTCACCTGAGGACCATCTCTCCAAGGAGCTCTCTGAGTCATTCCATTCAGCTCCAGCTGTACCCCTCCCTGTGGTAAGAAAGACACAACATGGATGTGTCAAGAATAAAAGCTTAGGCTTTGAAGCAAACAGGTCCCTCAGCTTTACCCCAATTCATTAATGCACTAATATGCCAGAAGGTCACCTTTACTTGACATTTGCCTTGCTGTCACATTCACCCACCCACCCAGTCAACACACATTTATGGGGTTTGTACACAGTATAAGCCTTGTGTTGGTCACTGACTCAGACATTAAAAAAACAATTATTCATTTACTCACCCAACCATACAACAAACATTTACTGAATACCCACCACCAAAATGGCAATAGGTTTCATTTAGAATGCGAACATCAATTGATCAGTAGCTCTGTTTTGAGAAGGACTGTGAGGCTCATCCAGGGTTGAAGGGGAAGAGTGCTGAGATCGATTACTGATGTCTACCATGAGTATAGATGAAGAGCTGACAGCACACTTACTTTATTTGCTAAGCAGTGTGTAGGTACTCACAGTTCAGTGGTGAATAAGTCACATTTCCTGCTCACAATTTTGTAGTGGATGATTTTATCCTTTAGAATTGCAACTGGGGTAGATGAATGGACAGAAGGCTTCTTAGCCCTAGAACCCATTTTCTGTACATTTGGGATGTAAAACAAAGACGCTAACCTGGGCTGCCATCTACAAGAGAAGATTTGGACTCCCTTCCATTTGCTGGGAAACCCAGGGAATGCGTCTTTTAAAAGTGGACTTCCCATCACCTTCTTCCCCATTGCCACACTGAATTTCTGACTCTGTTCCATTTCAGATGCTGTTCCCTGTGCTTCTGGCCATACAGGGCACTGTAGGGGCTGTGTACTGTGTGGTCATTTCTTCACTAGGTTTGCTCAGCGGCCCCTTCTGTGATACAGGCAGTGGAAACTACACCTACCCTTTCAGGAATGACAGCCTGGAGTGAGTAGCATTCATGGCCTTGGGTCAGTACCTAACTTCTAATGATGATACAGCTGATGACCACAAAGAGTGTGTGCTCTCAGTGTGGACCATCCTGTAATGGGGCCAGGCACTGTCATTCATACCTAGTGTCTTGTTTCTCTCTCCACACCTGCTCCCAAATCAACAATCTCTAGAAGGTGATTGACCCAGGCAAGAAGTGCGCATGAATTAAGCAGTCCAACCAAAGTATTCAATATAATACCTTGACTTCATTAGCCCCAATTATTAAACGCAACTGAGTATGTGCTGAGGGCCTGCTTAGTACTGGCTTGGTGCTGTGATAAGAGACAGGAGTAAAAAAGGAAGGCTAACACAACTTACCTATTTGCATGTTGCTCACTATCAAACTGGAGAGACTTAATTACCAAATTTGGGGCTGCACAAATATCCTAAAATGGCTGGGCTCTATGATGCACCTTCATTTTCCCAAAGGAATAGACAGAAACCCAGGCTGAGAAATACCCTGCTCCTCTTCTCATGTTCGCTCCCTGGAGATCTCATCCAACTCCATGGCTTTCAGAACCATCCATCTATCTATGTAAATAACCCTAAAACATCTATCTCTAGCCTAGATCTTTCTTCTGAATTCTTGACCCAAATACCTAATCACCTCCTTGAAATTTCCTCTTGAACATCTCATGGCATTTCTATAGTAATAGGTCCAAAACCCTTGACATTCCCACGCAAATCTCCTGTTATCTCCATCCCATTAGATGTCACCTAAAACCTGAGTCATCTTTGATTCTTCTCCCATTTCACTTCCCATGTTCAATCCACCACCAAATCCTGTCAATCCTACCTTGACAATGTATCTTGAATATACACTGTTCTTCACCTAGTGTGTCATCACCCTGTTCCAAATATCCACCATCCTGTACCTCCACTCCTATAATAGCCCTCCAACAAGTATCTGAGGGGATGGGGGCTGTTCATCAAGAAGACATGACCACCAGTTGACCTAGCTAGACCTGGGCAATTGGAGGCTCCTGACCCCTTCCCCTGTCCTTAGCATGTATGTTCACTTGTATTCTCCACTCCCAGAAGCTATTCCAAGGATAAGCCTTAAGATATTATTGAAATGTGGCGTTGAGACTCTCTGGACAGTATGCGTGACTGAATCCAGTTAGGGCCTCTCTATAAAAACTCTTAAGATTCTGGCAGGCAGGTACAGAAAATTACTCATCTTGCGGCCTCAATACAAGCCTCTTAAGTAAGTTCTCCTGCTTATTAAACCTGCCACCTACCAATCTGGAGTGGCCTGCCTTCTTGTTTGGTCTCTTCCTGTCCTCCATGTATGGGGTCAGTTTCAGGTTATACCTCGCAAACTCCTGTCCAGGTTTAAGAAGCAGTAGTATTCCAGTTCCATTTTGCCATAGAATCAACCCTTTTGCCATAGAATCGCCAAAGGAATTTTTGTAAAATGTAAAGATGCCAATAAGGCCAAGAAATGCTTACACTTTAGAACTTCCAGTCCCACTGGGGACTCCATAGATATGGATATGGGTGATGGTAGAAATATGGCATAGATATCAAATAATATATAATTCTATGAAGTATGGCCAGAAAACCCATTTTCTCTTTCTCCAACTTTTTTTTTCTCTTTCTCCAATTTGATTCCATATTTCCTTTACAGTTTTTGCTTATGTGTGCTTTCTTTTTAAGATTCACTGCTCTCCTCTTTGCTACTACCTACTTAAGGCCAGGTGACTCCACCTCTCCCTCTGAAGCCTTCTCCAGCTAATGGAAATTGAGACTTCCATTTTCTATCATAATAATTATGATATAACTAAAATGTATTGCCTACCGCATGGCGGGCACTGTGGTAATATCTAACCCTCCCAACCATTCTGTGATATGGATGCTATTTTTAACCCCATTTTACACGTACAGAATCTGATGTACAGAAACATTTAGGAAACTTATGTAGAACTTTTGAGTGAGGGAGCTGGAGTTAGGACTTGGGTCTGTGGAACTTTGAAGTCCAAGTTCTTAGCCACTCCTGCTGCCCCTGAGGTCCTGACAGCAGTTAAAATTTCGTAGCCAGGATTTCCTGCTTCTTCAAATGCTTTGTTGTGTGGCTCTGTCTATATCCACCATGCCTTGCTGAGATGTTGTGCTATCAGAGGGAAAGATGGTGTGTTGAACCCTCCCGCCAATGGGCGATAATAAATCTGCTATCTCTATGAAGATGAGAGCAATGGAGACCCTAAAGCTTTGTAATCCCCTGTATGAGACTGGTGCTTCTCTCATGGTTGTAAGTAGCAGCTCCCACCTTTTACTGTCTCTCAAAGCCAGGCTCATTTTCTCCTCTGTCCTGGCAGGGACAGCTACTTATTCAACCAGCCCACATGGGCCACCTGCCAAGAGCCTGAGCATATAGTCCTCTGGAACGTGGTCTTGTTCTCCATCCTCCTGGGGATTGGCATCGTGGAAGCAATGCTTTGCCTCAGTCAAGTCATCAGTGGACTCTGTGACATCTACTGTGGTACCTGCATCCGAAAAGGACAGGTCAGTGCTTCTAGAACCCAGGAATTTTCAAGTCACTTCCCCCCTGACCTGTCCACACTGTCTCTCTCCTGCCCTAACCCCACACTCCCAGAGGTAAGCCAGTAACTAGGAAATACCTTTTGAAATGTAGAACTTAATTTGCCACTTTGGGCTTAATTTTTTTTCAGGTGAACATAACTGGTTTATGACCAACCTAAGAAATCACAACTGATTGACAGACAAAGGAGAGTTCCCCAGGTTCAGAAGGACTGGATTTGGTGAATGTCAATCTCCAGAGTTCTGAGAAGCTGAGAAAAAAGCCCCAAACATCTTAGCAGTGTAGATTTTTATAAAAGGACAACAGTTTTGAAAATTTCATATTCTTTGGGAGAATCAAGATTGTTGTTTCCCCCAAATGATCTCTAAGAGTGATAAAAGAAGTCATAGGGGTATATAATAATAGAAATAAAAAAATAATATAATGATAATAATAGATGTTTAAATGTATTCAGTTGTTATTGTATTCCAGGCCCTGGGCTAAGCACTTTACGTTGTTTTGTAAATCCTATAAAGCTAGTAGCATTATCACACCATCTTGCAGATGAGGAAACTCAGGCTCAGAAAGGTTCAGTTACTTATCTGAAGTCAATGAATGTAGGTTTTGAATTTGAGCCTGATTCCAACATTTATATTCTAAACCACTGTCCAGTGGATCTCAGAGTTTGTTGCTTAGACACTAGTTCCATGGATTGCAATAGGTGTTATTTACAAAAAGGGGGTGGAAGGGACTCTGTGGTCAAGTTAACTTGAGATACACTAGATTAAACAAAGTTTAATAGGTTTCTCTACCGCAGAACTTGTTAGAAGCTTTATAAATCCAGTGTGCAATGCTAACCTCCAGGAAGAGAATAACAAATGCATAATTCCCTAGTCTTATTTCACTACAAAACCCTTTTCTCTTGGAACAATTTTTATGCGGTTAATATTCCATGGAGCATACTTTGAGAAACACTATGTGATTCAGTGATGAGGTAAAACCTACCTTGCTTAACCCATGAGAATCCAAAAGACTTTTTTAAACCATCAGAGAAGCAGAAAAATATGGGATGAAACAAGTTAAGGACTACTCACCCATCTTTAATTAAAAAAAAAAGTTTTGCTGTAATAGCTGGAATCAGAAGTTTTCTTTACTTTCAGGCTTCTTTACTGTCATTGCAACAAATATTTTTGAGAACTCAATCTACCATACAAGCTATGGCAGGCCCCAAAGAGGCATCAGGCAGGGTCTCTGGTTCAGGAAGCTTACAAGCTAATGGACCCTGCATAGCTGACTGCTTCCATAGAGATATCCAGGGCCCCCGCCAGCTCATACGGCGCCTTTGTACAAGTTAGGGGGAAAAGCAGAGGATACAGCTTGGCAAGCAGACAGAATCAAAGGCACACTTTAGAAAGGTACCTTCTCCTCCAGGTTGATGTAGCCTATACTGGGCTGAAAAATATTCCCCCTCCCAAAACTCGTATTTAACAGGAACCTCAGAATGTGACCTTATTTGGAAATAATGGCCTTTGGAAATGTAGTTAGTTAAGATGAAGTCATACTGGATTAGGGTGGACCCTAAATCTAATATGACCTGTGTCCTCATGAGAGAAGGCCCTCATGCACAAAGAAGAAGGCCGTGTGAAGATGGAGGCAGAGATTGACTTTATGGGGCCACAAACCAAGAAATGCCAAAGATTGTGGCGACCACCAGAAGCCAGGAGAGAGCCATGCAGCAGAGTGTCCCTCTGAGCCTCCAGGATCCAGCCAACTTCTTTGTTTATATTAGTTTCAGTTGTACAAAACAATGTAATAGACATTTACACCCCTCACAAAGTGATAACCCAGCCAACCTCTTGATTTCAGACTTTTAGCCTCCAGAACTGTGAGAGAATGAATGTATTTTAGGCCACCCAGTTGGTAGTGGTTTGTTATAGCAGCCTTAGAAAACTCATACACAGTCCCACGCCAGGGACCAGGGGAGCAGGCCCCCCCCACTCATCTGCCTTGTGCAGAAACAGCCTCCTCAATTGGACAGGTGGCCCTGCTGACCTCCCACACCCCCCGAGTGCCCTGCTGACTCAGGCTGTTTGCTTCCCTTTAGCTCTCCCACTGACACGAAGCCAGACACACACAACCCAGACAAGAGATGTCCTAAGTACCCTGCATGGAGCCCAGCACATCACTGTACCTGGGATTGTTCCCTTAGCCCTGACAACCCCATGAGGGTGTCATCCAGGGAGGAAACTGGGCTTATGGAGGGGAAGTCTTTAGGAGAGTCACAGAGGATGGCTGTGTATGGCCCAAATTCTGTTTCCCTGGGAGGGAAAAAAAAAAATCCAAAGCAAAATGTTTTATTAGCTATTCCCCATGAAAACACCCTCTGTGTAAAGTGATGGATTTGAAGGCAGGGAGGAGAAAGGTTTTCTGCCTCTGGCAAAAGGTCCTCTTGTGGTTGTTCCTCTGGCGAGTAAAAGGAGCTCGCTGTTAAAAGACTCTGAACTACAAACATTCTGTGGCCAGTAAAGTGGGCGGAAGAGGCACCAAGCCCAAGGGTGAGAGCTTGGGCGAGGCCCCAGCACCCAGCTCGTAAAGGCACGCAGGGCAGGCCGGGCTCTGTAATGCACACCATCAAGGGCTTTGGAGGCTGGAAGAGCACCACCAACACTTGAGACGTGGGGCCAACCATAAAATACTTCATGATTAATCCACTAAAAGTGTGTATTGCCAAATAGGAAATAGCTCTCTGAAATTAAGGAGAAATAGTTGATTTTCGAGGCTAGGTTAGGTCTACTCTTCGGCTACAGGACAGTTATTTCCTGAGTTCCTACAATGTACAAAGCCAAAGTGCCTGGAGAAAGGTGGGATGGAAGGGCTCTCAGTTTGGGGAGAAAGGGTTAAAGCAGAAAGGAAAACCTCAGTGTACTGCCACCCAGATGTGAGGCAGAAACGGGGGAGGTGATTATTCTCACTTCAATCTCTGTGTCTTCAAGCATATCTCGTCTTTTTAAATTCCTTACTCTCTCAAGGGACACCATATGTCTTCCAGACCAGCGCTGAGTGACATTTTTCCCCCACACTCATATTCTGGATGTTAAAAATTGATTTTACCACAGGATATAACAGTGTTTATAAAATACAATACACACATTATTGGAAATATGAAGAAGATAGCTCTCCGTAGTGAGTTTAAAAAGTCTTTCCATTTTACTCTTTATACTTTGCTATAGTGTAACGATTCCACATTTTCCAGAATATGCAAAGATAACTTGGATAACTATAAATGTATGTGAAAAATTGACTTGCCCATTTTATGAAAACCATGTAGAAGACTCATCTGTATACTATGTCTGGTGAAATCCTCTTTCGGGTCTGACATTGACTTGAGAGAAACGTCACGGTTCAAAGGCTCATTGATGAACCAACATCCAGTATTTCTCCCAAGTCAAATGGGTAGAAAATAATTTTAAAAGAGGGAGATGCACTATCGGGAGTGGGGAGAAGGACATAAAGCTAACCTAAGTAGCTCTGGAAAAATTAGGAAAAGTTGTTTGGACCAGAAACTATAAGGCTAAAGACAAAGGGAATTGTATGTAAACACTGTGATCTAAAGGTATTTCTCACAGGGATAAGAGTTAACAATTATGAACCCGGTAAGCATGTATAATGGGGTTGAATGGTGGATGGTGGCAGACAGGTTTCTCACTGTTGAAGGAAGAAGTTACAGATAAGCAAAGAGGTAAGGCTAGAATGATCCATGTATACTGGATTAGAGTCAAGGACATCAGTATAAATTCATGCTTGGCTTAATGTACGAAGTCGGACAATTAAGCTCGTGAACTTGTTGCAACGCTATTGCTAACCTTTTATGATATCAGAGGGATTATTCATTATGAATTTGTACCAACTAAACAAACACTTAACCAAGTTTACTATTTGGAAGTGCTGAAAAGCCTGCATGAAAAAGTTAGACAACCTGAACTTTTCACCAGCAGTTCATGGCTCTTGCATCATGACAATGCACCAGCTCACACTGCACTGTTTGAGGAAGTTTTTAGCCAGTAAACAAACAACTGTATTGGAATACCCTCCCTACTCACCTGATCTGGCCCCCAGTGACTTCTTTCGTTACCCGAAGATAAAGGAAATATTGAAAAGAAGACATTTTGATGACATTCAGGACATCAAGGGTAATACAACGGCAGCTCTGATGGCCATTCCAGAAAAAGAGTTCCAAAATTGCTTTGAAGGGTGGACTAGGTGCTGGCATCGGTGCATAGCTTTCCAAGAGGAGTTCTTCTAAGGTGACCATAGTTACATTCAGCCATTAGGTATGTAGCACTTTTTATAGGATGAGTTTGTGAACTTAATTGTCATACCTTGTAGATACAGATGGATAGAAACAGAAATACAGATATGTGTGTATGCATGGGTTGTTCTACATAGATTTTCTAGCCCTGTCTGCTGAAAGAGCTAGAAGCAATGACACACCAGTAGCAATGAGTATACCCATTAAATTGTTAAGAAATAATTTATTATTTTAAATTTAAAATTTTATGAAAAATTTTAAGTTATTTAAAAGGAGACAAATGGCTTTCCTTGAATAAAAGGCTTTGAGCTTCCCAAACTACCTAAGCAGCAGCAGTCTAGGAAACCCAACATCATTCAAATGGGAGACAAACTCAGCTAGCTCTTCCTGTGTCTGAGTATCACTGCCTGAGCAGTGGCCTTATCCACAGATAGCTCAAGTGAGTAAAACACAGTCAAGAAACACAGGACTCTTTATGTAAGGACCCTGACTTGGCCTCTTCCTCCAGGGCAGAATGCTGAGAGGGGATTACTTTACATCATGGAGACAAGCACCATGCCACCTGACCCCTAGTAAACTGACAGTACAGTTCTAGAGTGACCAAGAACATGGGTTCAGAAGTGTAACAGTATAGTCTGATGGGTTCCTTTGTAGTGGATGCTTTCTTGCCCTACCGAGTGCTGTCGCACGCCCACTGTACCCTCTTACCCTCCGTGCAAAATATTCCGAGATAATCCCCTGGTTTGAACTAGGTGCCCCCTTCATTCCCTGAACAGATCTTCAATTGTTCCCATCTTGTCGTTCACATGCAGGATCCCTCCACACGGCTGTGATGCAGGATGCACCTTATTCATCTCTGTCTCCCCAGTGCCCAGGGCATAATAGGCTCTCAATAAATGTTTAGTGGCTGGATAAACGAAAGAATGAAGAGTGAATGTTCCAAACCTGCAAAGGGGTTCAGGAAATGTAATTATGCAAAGTAATTTATACAGACTGACTGTGCAACTCTAAAAAGCTTCCTCTTTTTCTCTTCCTCTCTTCATCACCCTGGCCCAGATGTGGGAGTTCCCAAAAGGAAAAAAAAAGTCAATTCTGAGTGGTTTCATTTTGCAACTGTAGTTAAATGTACTCTGTCGCTGGCCACCACCCATCAGTTGGGGTTTATATAAAGTTCATAGCATGGGCCACACGGTTCTAAATGTAGCACTGTGATATTGTGATTTTATAATAAGAAATATATTTTTGGTCTTCATTCATTTATGGCACAGAACTCCTAAAATCTTGGAATTTCCTGAGTGATAAAGGAGTCTTCTATTATTCATCACAAACCCTTTTCAAATCACACCTGAGTTAGTGTTAATGCGGTGACTTTGGGAAAGCTCTTCAGGATGGGGGCTGGTTGTCAGGGGAACCAACCAAGATTTGAGGGTTGGAATTTTCAGCACCCTCATCTCTACCCTCTCCCAAAAAGCCAGAGTTTGGAGAGCTTCTGGGTTGGTGAACACACAGAGGGTGCTGGGAGAGTGGTGTGCCCAGAGAGGGCATGGAATCCCTGTACCCTTCCCACATACCTTGCCCCATGCATCTCTTCCATCTGGCTGTTATTATATGTTTATAATAAACTGGTAATCTAGTAAGTAAACTGGTTTCCTGAGTTCTGTGAGCCAATTTCGCAAATTAATTGAACCTGAGAAGGGGGTCTTGGGAGCCTCTGATTTATAGCCAGTAGTTAGAAGCACAGGTAACAAGGGGACTGCAGTCTGGTGGGACTAAGCTCTTAACCTGTGGGATCTGATGCTATTTCCAGGTATTATCAGCACTGAGTTGAGTCGTAGGACACCCAGCTGGTGTCACAGAGTTTCCTGGTGTGGGAAAAAACCCACACATTTGCTGACCAGAATACAGAAGCATGCAGAGTATTATGTATGTATGTAGCATAAAGAAAAACAATAAGTGTTTTTTTTCTTTTATAAGCCTAACACACAAAAATCCTATCATGATAATGTCTGAGATCTTTGCATAGGCTGAATCATTTCCAAAGATCTCTTCCTACATGACCATATCTGACCCTCAGTTACATCATCTTGTCCAGGGACAAATGATTATCACCACTTGACTGCAAGGGAAACAGAGGCTCAGAGGTAGCTACCCAAGAAGCAGCAGATATGAGGCTCAAGGCTGAACTTTGGACTGCAAGTCCAAGAATTCCTTCCATGGAATATTGCTGCTCAGAGCCTAGTTGAAGAGATAAGACCAGTATCACTTTAAAGGAAAGAACCCGAGGGCGCCATGCTGTGGGGTTGGAGCAGAAAGGGAGGCCTCAGAAGGAAAGGAGCTTGAACTGGGCAAGTGGGAAGGAGAGGCTATTCCAGGCAGAGGGAACAGCAGGAGTACAGAGAGGAAGCAGGACTTCTCAGGGCCTCCAAGAGACAAACAGGAGGCCAGGTCATGGCGACAACGGCAGAATACTATCCATACCTGGGAGTAGAGAATCTCTCCTATTTGTGAACTTGTGATGTATGAACATTCACACAAAAACAAAGCTGAATTTTGTTCAGCTAAAATGCCCTTGACCAGCACTTGGTATTAGCAGTCATTTGCCTTCTGACATATTGTTGGGGCACATGGCTATCCTTGGATAGATTTAAGAATTTACTAAGATTAGTAAGAGGCATATTCTTACAATGGAAACAAAAGTAAAGACAAAATAAAAGAGGTTAAAAATGATAAGAAGCAGATAATCTTGCACACTCTAATGGTGGAGGCCTTGGACAATAGGAATGATTTTCAAAAATCAAAGAAAATTCTGCCACATGTGAGAAATTCTATAACTGCAAGAGATGAGGAAAAGGGATGAATGAAATGGAAAGCTTCTGAGTATGTAGCTTGAAGAGCAACATGAACTCTGAATACACATTAGACTAATATAGTTAGAAGTCAGCGAGGAGTTAGTATTTATTCACTAATTCCGTAGCTATTTGTTGAGCATCTACTATGTGCCAAGAACTGTTCAAGATGCTAGGGATAGAGCAGTGAACAAAATAAAGCCCCTACTCTCACAGAGCTTATTGTTAGGAAGGAGAAATGGATGACAAACAGTATACGTATTTGGCGCTGCTAAGTATTATGGGGAAAAATTAATGTGGACAACTGGGTTAGGGAGTAACAGTGTGGGCAGGGCAAAGGAATGCTGGTATTGCTATTCAATGGTTGGGAAGACCTCTCCGATAACATGGCTTTGAGCAGAGATCTAAAGGAAGAAGTAATTCTTTGACATCTCCAGCTTTAAACATGATGAAAGGCTGTCAATGACCTTTTATGTTTTAACTACTTAATTTTTGTTTAAATTTTTTAAGCCTTTTGTGTATTTAACTTGGAGGTAGTGGACTTATGGTGCAAGACCCAGAGAGTCCAGTAGGTTCAAGACTACTGTGAATGTTGTCACGTCAAAGGGGCCTGCGGGCCAGTTGTGTAGATACCAGAGCTGCTGGGGTCTTCTCAGACATCTACAAGATTCTCACGGAGCAAGGTTTCCTGCTTGCCTCGCTTCTGCTTCATTCAAGTAACTGCCAAAGGCGCAGAAACAAGTCTACTCTGGCAAAAGAAGCATGCTAATACAGCCATCACTAGCAGATGACACGTGTGTTTGATTTTAAATCTATGAGGTAGAAATGATCTGGGAAATACAAACTTAAATGCTTTTTGTCACTTTGGTCTTCAACGTCTACCTTGTTGATGCGTAGTAAATGCTGGGAATTTATTTCCTTCTCATTTAGCCCTTCACAGAAAACAGAGCCATCTGTTTTTCCTTAAAGAGGCTGCTGATAAGTCTCTGATTGCTGGCATTTTCTGGACCACCTGATGAGCCATATGTGCCCTAAATTTAGCCCATAAGGAACATTCCTTTCAGTTTGGAGAACGTGTTTGTCGTGCATTATGCTGGCACCAGCCTGCCACAGTCACTCTCATAATTCTAAGCCAGTGGCATTGTGTGACGAGGCAGAAACAACGCACGCAAAGCTCAGAAGAAACACAGACTGGCCCACTGCCAGCCCAGATGGCCTGACTCACGTTCTCCATGCCCAGGGGAGCCTGGGTTGGCTTCTAGTGACCCTCCCACAAGCCCAGTCAAGCACTCCGAGTTACACTGCTCTGGGAGGAAAATGGGAACTTATCCCTTAATTACTTAATATCCTAAAGACTCTAGAGTCTGTTCCCTCTGTTGTGGAACATGAGTTCTGGGGCCACTACCGGGGTTTCTATCTTCAGCTTTGCCACTGATTGAGTAAACTGCCTCAATTTCCCCACCTCATAGGAATTGTTGTTAAGATCAAATGAGATAAAATAGTGTGTGCCTGGAATACGGTAAGCTCTGAATCGACCTGTTATTTCTGCCTCTCATTATCTCCTGCTTGGGCTACTGTAGTGATCTCTTCACTGGTTTCCTGTCTCCGGTCCCCACCTAAATCCATCCCACTCTTTGTTGCTGAAGTCATCTTACGCACACAAAGCTGATCCTAAAATCCTGCAGCAATTCCTCTGCGAGGATATATCCAAACTCACGTGCATGACATATCAAACCCTTTGTCATCTGACACCTCTGCACCTGTGCCGCACTGTCTGCTCGGCCCAGAATGTCCTTTCTCACCTTGACCCCCCTGCAAAACTCCTACTCATCCCTTAAGATTCCACTGAAGCATCATTTCCTCTGATCCCCTCCTGCCACTCCAAGCATGGTCAAGCGCCTTCTTCTTAGCTTCCTACAGAACATTTACTGTTGGCTTTTATGGCGTACTTACTGCATTGTGCTGTCATCGTTTGCCTGGCTTTCTTCCCCTCTAGACAGTTGAGTTTAGCCAGACCACAGGAGTGTGGCCAAGTTCAAGGCCTACAGAGTCACTAGGGGTGCTTTTACTCTGGCTTTCCAGCACTTCAGCCAGCTAACAATAGTGAGAATACACACCATGCAGTGCTCTCCTCTGCTTTGCGATGCTAAGGACTTTTGGCTTTATTTTGAAGAGAGAATAGGTGTAAGAAGGGAGAGGGAAGCGATCAGATTTGCACACACTAGCTGGATTGTCAAGAACTGATTGTAAGGAGCAAAACCAGAGGCAGGGGATGAGCTAAAGGATTCAAGGGGACCCCTCAGATTTCTTTCTCTGTGTTGCCCCCTCCTCCTCTTCATGAGTCTGCTTTGCAAATTTTAGCTGCCTCAGCCTGCCTACACTCCAATCTCTCCTCAGCTCAGCTAGGCCACCATGTTCTGTGTGGCTTCTTTCGCCCTGCACTACAGTCTGGAAAGTACTTCCAGGCAGCAAGCCAGGGTCATCAGAGGACTCACCATGTTTGTTTCTCGTTCTCCAATTTGCAGTTTCAACAGTCCAGTCAGGCTGTTATGTGGAGAACAGAAGGAAAGGTGGCAGTTGTAGAAACAGGAGACCAACTGGGAGACTATTAAAGTAGTCTGGTTAAGGGTAGGGGACAGCAATGGAGGAAGCGAGAATAAGTTAGATTCTGGATATATTTTGAAGGAGAACCCACAGCATTTGCAGACTAATTTATATGTAGAGGTAAAGGAAAGAGAAAAATCAAGTATGATTCCAAGGCTTTTTGACTTGATCGGCTCAGGGAATCATGGTACCATTTTCAGAGATAGAGAAAACTGCAGGAGAAGCAGACTTGTGAATTAGGGGGAAGATAAACAGTTTGGTTTCAGGCATGTCAATTCTGAGTTTCCTATTGGCACCCCTGAGAAGATGATACATTGGCAGTTGGTTATCTGTGTCTGCAAAGTAGAGTAAAGGTCAAGATTGAAGATCTAAATCTGAAATACAAAATGAACTTTAAATTCAGGACTACATAAGATCACCTAGAAAGTGAGTGGAGCAAAAGAAAAGGTTCAAAGCCTAGGGCTTGGGGGACTTCAACATTTAGAAGGCAAGAAACGAGTGAAGCAAATTTATATATCCTCCATATAGTCATAAAGTCATTTCTCAATGGCACCTAAGATATGAGGTTGCCTGAAAAAATACAGCACACGTGTCACAATGCAACCCTGAAGAGCCATATCCTCAACCTACTAACCCCAGAATGTGCAACCATCCCCATATGACCCACATGGGTCTGAGAGCCATCTGATCTAAGATCATTCAGGGCCAAGGTGAGTTTACAACTAAAGTATAGCATGATGTAGCGACAAATGCACAGGAATAAGCATCAACAGACATGCAGTCCAGTCCTGACGATGGCTTTAATTAACTAAACTCAAGAAGCCAATATCAGTTTCCCTGGACCTGAGTTTCTTCACCTATAAAATGAAGAGATTGAACTAAGTGGTCCTTCACGTCTCTTCCAGCTTTTTATTTTAAAAATCCTAGAGAAAAAGATGGAGAAAGAGATATTTGTAATTCCATCCTCCACTGAAAAGGTCTGCCCCTAACTCACCAATAAGGAGACTTCTCCAAATGTTCTAGAACAAGCAGTGCGTCTTTCTATGGCTAACTGCTCTATGCACTCTGTGC